TAAAATGTCGATATTAGATAGTTAAACAAGTCACGTGATCAGACAGCCTAATCGAAGATTTCTTGGTTAATTAGAGACACTAACCTTGATATTGCCAGCTTCTTTGATGGCTGCAATGATCTTGGTTTGGTCTGCAGTTTGCAGGAAACCCACCGTCGATATCACAACGTCCACCTGTTTGATCGCCTTCACCAAACTCTCATGGTTATAAAGATCTCCCTGCATATTAATCACCGTAATTAACCAAGTATCATAACATAATTGGGAGAAATTAGGTTCTCATCCTTCATTTTGCTACTCCATTGATTAAAATCATATTTCTTTTCAATTTTTTATCAAGGTCCTTGGCTATTAATAACATCATTAATTATTTCAATAATAAAATATTTTTTATTTATAAATATATTCATTTAATGTTAAAAATGTTACAATTAGTATATTTATATTTATGACTAAATTTTTTATCATATATTTTTAGTTTTAGTTTGTACCCATTTTTAATTTGCAACCCTTTTTTAATTTGTACCAATTTTCTTTTCAATTTTAATTTGTACCCATATATTAATTTCTTTTTGTGCCTATATTTTTTTAAAGTTTTATTTGTATTTGTAACCATATTTAAAAAAAAATTTATTTGTACCCATTTGTTATTTTGCCAAATGTACCCATGCAAATTATATGTACCCATTCATATAATTTTTTCAAATTTTTAATCTTAAAATGTACTGATTCTTAAATATGCCAATCTGTTATATGTAAAATGTACAATTTTTTTTATATAAAATCTATTCAATTTTTTTCTAATCCATTTTTAAACTTATATGGGTACATTCTTTTTTCTTTGATTTTAAAATGTATCCATGTCAAGTTTAATCGAAGAAATTTATTAATGTTATTAAGCCTAATAACTTTTTTTTTTGTGATTTTGAAGATTGTACCATGTTTATACACACACAATAGTATATTTATATTTTAATATTTTTAATCCCACGAATTGTGGTTTTTTATTTAAAATCTCATTTACATAAACAACTAAAAATTTTAATTTAAAAAATATAGTAACGTACATAGAAATAAATTATTACATTAATTTCAGGGATTTCGATCAAAAATTTAAAACCAACAAGGTTTCAATTAAATAATATTCATAGGTAAGAACCGCATCAAAAGTCTCCTTTAAATTAAACACAAAGAGAGATTAATATGCAAGTAAACACTAAAGAGATTAATATGCAATTAAACACTAAGAGAGATTAATATGCTTACATAGAGCAAAGTGACACCCAAGTTCTTGAACTTCTCAATGAGATTAGCCTTAGCAGGATCGTTGACCGTGGTCTCTCTAACCAGAGCAAAGGTCGGATGCCCGGCCTTCGCGCTCGCTTCAACGACAAACTTTCCGATGTAGCCAGTGCCACCGATTATCAAAATCTTGCTCTTCTCAGCCATTGATATTTCTAAGAAATTATCAAACTCTTCTTCTTTTTCCTAGTTTTTTCTTTTGTGTATTTTCGAAGTTGTGAAGTGAAGTAGCTAGAGCGCATTTTATGGACGAAATTATATGGTGACAAATTGAAATAGTGGAATTGATTGTTCACCTGCTTTTAAATTTTTTAATCATCATTTATTTGACTTGATGAGAATATTTTATTGATCTTATGTATATACTACGTGAAAAGTTAGTGTTACCCTCGTCAGGTTGCTAAAAAAAGGAGTTGGTGAACGGCAGTGCCGGAATTTTACGCATGAATTGTTCCAGAATCAGACCCTGAAGTGATCCATACGTCATTGTCGTTCTAGAACCCAAATGAACATAGTCGGGATCACGATAATGTTCATACTTTTAAAAAAAAAAAAAATTAACGACCTCGTATGATAGTATTTTGTTTTTTATTTTTATTTTGTGCGTTTTTTGTTTATATATTTGTTCTCTGTCTCTCATCATTGTTTCAACCGTCTTTTATGTTTTCTCATTTATCTCCTTTACTGTTATTTTATTGACAAACGATATCCTTTATACTAACACCTTTTATAGTGGGATAGTAATAATGTGGTTCAGATGAACTAGCCTGACAGTGAACTAATAATAATGTGATTCAAGTTCACCTTTAACGAAAATCGACCTAAGTCTTCTCACTTACAAGTAAAAAGAAACACTACTAAACTGTGATACCAAATTATCCTTTATTGTCTTTTAAAAATTTTCAAGAAAAAGAGAAAAAGAAAAAAGAAATAGGCTTGTGATCTAGTTTCATTTGAGGAGAAATATTTTAATCTTCGAAGATAGTAAGTTATGGAATAAATAAATCACACAAATTTAGAAAATGCATAAGAGAAACATTAAGAAGACTCTCAAAAGCATGGCTTTTTATAAACTTTTTACGGCATCATATTTGACACAAAATTTTATAATATTGACATAGAATAGAATTTAACGTTAAATTGTAAATTGAACGTCCCCTTCAACCTTCTCAAGACACAATGATCTTAGGGTGAAGGCTAAGAAAGTGTGATCAAGCCATGTTTGTCTGTATTCAACCACTTACGAAGGAATCATTTCATGTAAAAAAGACAAACTATCCCAACCCGTCCTCAAGTTCCACGAGTCATCTAAAATATAAAAATAATGTGTTCAATTCTCTTTCTTTTTGTTGTGTGAATAATATGTGGATGGCCCAGGAAAATTTGTAAAGTAAATAATGTTCTATTTGCTTATAAAATGAATGAGATGTTGTGAATAATATGTGGATGTACCATATGAATAGTTTGTTACTATTTATACACAGTATTTTCACTATTCATTTGTGGAAAATTTGTAAAGTGAATAGTGTTCTCTTTTGTTTATAAAATGAATGAAAGATGAATAAGGTTGAGAGACATACGGGAGAGATAGGAAGGAAAAAAGGATGAGAGAAAGAGAGAGGACGAGAGAAAAGAGAGGAAGAGGAGATGAAATAATAGAAAGAGTTATCTTTGTACTCCTATTATTCCAAATTATAATGAAAGCACCACTACTGCCCCGAGGAAGTACTCCAGTCACACTGACTGTAGAGGAACCTTGTAAATTTTATGTCTTATTTCATTTATTCCACTGCACCCACCGTCAATTTTACAACATGAGAGACGAATAAGGAGAGAAGCAAAATGGAAGAGGATGAGAGAAAAGAGAAGAAGAGGAGAGGAGATAATAAAGAGAGTTATTTTTGTACTCCTATTATTCTAAATTATAATGAAAGCACCATCGATGTCCCGAGGACGTACTCCAGTCATACTGATTGTAGAGGAACCTCGTAAATTTTGTATCTTGTTTCTTTTATTCCACTGCACACACTGTCGATTTTACAACACTTTTGTTATTTTCTTTAGGTTTTTATTTGAAGTCTCTAGTGGAAGGAACATTTGTAGGGCTTAATGATTGTGGAAGAGTATCTTAAAGGAAATGCATCATCTCTGGATTCCTTCCACCAAATTCTTTCAATCAATCAATTCGAGTTCTTAAAATTTGATCCAACGGTTATAAACAAAAGGTCTCTTTAAAAGTTATAATAACTTTAACCGTTAGATCAATTTTCAAGGATCCGGATTGATTGATTGAGAGAATTTGGTGGAAGGAATTCGGAGAGGTTTCCTATTTTAAAAAGGTGGAATGTTTAAAAGTGGATAGTTGCAGTGGTGAATCCAGGATTTTTAACTCAGGGGTCCCAATGTCAAAAAATTTATAGACAAAAGTAACATTGAAAAGTTAAATATAATACATTTTATTCAAAAATCATACGCAAAACAATATTACAAGCTATAAAATCCTAATTTAAGCATCCACAACGAGGTTTCATAGTCTGAAAATATTCCATGATAGCTTAATTACCAATACATGAAAAAACATATTTCTTAATATAAACAAATAAGCTATCACTCAACCATTGATCTTCCATTACAAGCTGTCACTCAATACAAACATAAAACATATCAATAATAAACTAAAAATTTCCATCAATATCTAATATAATTTAATTAAGATTAGATTAGAATTATAAAAAAAAATTACTTAAATTTTGAACCAAATAATGGTGGAGTGGAGAATTGAAAAAAGTGGGAAGTATGATGTTGGACTAATGTAATTATAATATGGGATTGGGTCACGGGTGGGATTAGAAATTAGGGTTTTGAAATGCGGGAAAGAGGGAACCAAATAATGGGGAATTGGGGAAAAGCAGTGGGGAAAGAGAGAACTTTGGGGAAAGATGTGGGGCTCAGCCGCTCAGGGGATGGGTTTTAAAATTAAAACAATATGGAGTCATCAGTTATGGACAAACGACAGCGGTTGTTATCTCTTCTTCTTTTTATTTATTTTTTCTTTAAAAAAAAAAGCATAAAACAATTGACCAAAACACTGCAGTTTTGGACCAATTGTTAAAAACCCATATTTTCTTTCTTCTTTCCCGCTGTCTTCTTCTCCGTTGCAACCTGAAAGCAAACATACCTCGTGTTTCGAGGGATCCCTTGGAAAATTTCTAACAACGATTTAGGATCGCCGAGAGGTCCTGAAACCTTCCAAGTCCCTCTGTAGATCCACCACTGGATAGTGGATGTCACTACAACTTAGGTTTTTTTTTTTTTTTTTGGTCCAGTGAAACATCATATGTTTAATTCTTATATTTTCATGTATTTAATAAATTTTCTTTCGTCACTTAATATTACGGTATAATGATATTCTTCTTCACTTGTAAGTGAAGAGTCATAGATTCGATTCTATCGAAATACGAATTTAAACCATATTATTACTAGACTATTGTGAGATTAAACGTACTCTCTTTCTCTCTCTTAGGGTAGATAATATAATTTTAAAAAAAATAAAAAATCTTCTTTCAATGCACAAAGGTCTCTAAGGTCAGAAACTCTACTGCTCCATGTTGAAGGGTCGCCTAAGTTCTTCGAATATCGAATGTATTAACTAAACAATATTAAATCGTTAGCAGACCAAATTATGCAACAACTCAAGCTAGAAAGAACATGAAACTTCCCATAAATAAGTATACACAATTTGTACAAGTCAAGAAACACAATTTGTACTACCAAAAAAACTCCATCTCATAAGTCATAAGATCCTAGCAATTTAAACATTAAAGAAAAAGAAAAGGTGACGGATCAAACTGGTTGCATAAATGGAAGCCCATGACCGACGGATCAAGCATATGGACCCACTATTATGGGAAGGATTATTGGGCCTCAATGACAAATCAGGTACTAATTTGATCATGGCCGTTTGATTTAGGGGCCCAGCTGTTGGCTACATGAAACTGTGCTGCGTAAGTAGTTTTGGAATCGCCTTCTTCTAATATTGGAGGTTCATTCAGAAATGCCCAATTGCTCGCTGTCCACCTGCATATATGAATCCAATGGTAATTATTTATTTATTTTTTGTTCTACAAATAAAAGACATGGGAGTACTTTATGTTACTTGATGCAAAATTTAAGTTTAGTGAGCTTCTAAGATTCATAGAGTCGATCACATTTAATAAATTTTGAACTTTAATGGTAAAGTGAATAGTACTAAGATTGACTTTTCAATGTAAAAATATGATTTTTCGTTAAAATGAACAATACCGAAAATTTTTCGTTAAAGTTACCAAAGCTTTGTTGTTATTGTTTTATACAAATAAAAAATTAGAAGAAATTATGAAGATAATTAAACATGTTAATTACCAGCCATTGTTCTTTAAGATTTGTTGAGTCCTAGGGCTTGTTTCAGTATCTGTACTGCCGATGTTTGTTGTGTTCACAGGAAACGAGCTTGATTTCTGGATTTTTCTTCCCGGTTCATCAGCCGTGCGAATTTCCTGACATGTGTATAATATTGTCAATCTCGATATGACCTGTGCTAGAGCCAATCGCGCATACGCACAACGATAACAATAGAAAAAGAATTTAATATAACATAATACCTGGCTGATGCTATTTGATTTCTTGTGTGCTTTCCAGTAAGCTTCAATCTCCTCCATGGTGAGTGATTTATTCTTCTGAACTCCTTAAGAATTAAAGATTGTGACCACAATTAGAAACTTAGTTCGCAATTAAGTGAAATAAATAGTGATAAAACACGTGGATTAACTCAGTAATAAGCTACAAATTAATACAAGTAATTAACAGGATTAGGGTTAAATACCTGGCTTGGACCTTAAGACAGGTGAGTCCCATCCTGGCACGAGTGAACCCATTTCTCTTCAAACTATGATCTTCAATTCAGCTCCTCACTTTGTGTGAATAATATATGGAGAAGTTCATTATTATATATATACGTGCGGCTTTTTTGACGGTGACTGGGGAGCCAATACATATCTTTTACTTTGTTCTTCTTACCCCCCAATTGCCAAAAAATAATATATTGCTAACTAGCCAAGACGCAATACCGCTATAGCAGCCCACAGGTTTTAGATATAAGGCGGCGAATCCGGATTCATGTGAGAATTTCAGAAAATCGTGAATGATGTTGTTTATCGTATATTATGCGATCATAAATTATGTTAAAATTTTTATTTAAATTGAATATAAATAATATTTAATAAAACTTAATTATATAATATATAATAAACGGACACAATTTATAAATTTATAAGATTTTCGTAAAAAGATCAGGATAAAATCTTGTCGGTAAGCGGCAATACTTGATAATTTTGGATAAGTATCACATATATTTGAAGTGACACGAGTCAAATAAAGACCCATAACACGCACCCAAGAAAGCCAATTAGTTGTCAGAGTTATCAGCTTCGGTAGCTAGCTACCGTTCAGCGAGAGGAGAGATTTAGCCCCAGTTTGGGGTTCAGTTGATTTTAAAAAAAACTCCTATGAAAAAAAGTTGGGAGTATTTTTGGTGTTTGGTAAACTTAAAAAAATGGCTTATTTTGGAAGCTGCTGTGAGAATAAGCTGAAATCAAAGGAAAAAGCTGAAGCTGCAGTTTGTAGCTTTGAAAAACTGACTTTTTTTCAAAGCACATAGAACTACAGTGCTCCTTTAATGAAAAGATCCACTATCAGACTGCTTTTTTTTTCCAAAAGCACTTTTACAAAAAAGTTTACCAAAACCCTCTGCTGATTTATTTCACATCCGCTTATTCTCACAGCACAGCTACTTATTCTCACAGCAGCTTTTTTTCAAAGCACAGCAATACTAAATCAGCCCTTAGAACGTTCGCAACGAAGGTGGTGTGTCAGATGTTATTTTACAAATAAATAAAAGTTTTTGTTTTTAAAATGTCTGTCTACTTACAACGTGTGAGAATTTGTTACAGGAATACTGACAACTTTCTCCCTGGAGGATCGATGAAGCCAAAACCAGACTAATAGGGCTTTCTTTTGGAAGGTTTCGACGTAGTACATGCATGCAGTCGTTCATTCTGATAATTAATTCTTTACAAAAGTGGTAAATATGTTGTACGTTTGTATAAGGCGGTGAACGATTGGTCTTTTTGAAAACATGGCCGGCCATATCAAGTAAAGAAGAAGAAAAAAAATGAATTGATGTATATTTGTTTGTAAAACCAATGAATGAATGTTGTAGTGCATGAGATCAACAAGAGAGATTATATTCACACATTCCAAATTACTTCTCTCACACATTTTTTATTTTTTAATATTTTTTACGTAGGAGAAGTAATTTGGTATGTGTGAATATAATCTCTTGATCAACAATTTTGCAATTAAATATTTATAAAACTATACATAGATATGTCCACACACGAATAATTAATTAATTAATCAATTCTTGGTGGAAAATGCCTTCTTCTTGAAACTCTTAGGCGTTGCCCTAATCCAAGCTTTTGCATCAATGGAGTCCTTTGTTATGAAAGGTGCAGCTTCTTCACTCGTTAGGACTCGTGCCCAGTCAGCTCTTTTTGATGTCACAGCTCCAGGTCCAGAACATTCGTATTGTCCATAGTAAACAGAACTGCATATGTATCAATCATTGGAACCAAATTAGCCAACGTAAATAAACCAAAAAAAAATTGAGTAAGAAATTTGGAACGAAAATAAGAAAGTTGTTATTAGCAATCCAAAATAATCTTCATATAAAGAAACTGAGGAGCAGACGATAATTATTTTGAAATACTAATAACAATTTAGTAAAAGTACCTTAATTGGTCAGCTGAGTGTCCCCAGTTGTCCCAACCCTGAGGGAGTATGGCATTAGGCATGTAAGTGAAGGCAAAAACGACTCTGGAGTAGACACCCCATGGCCTTCCTAACACTGCCGTTTTGACGCCAGTGATCTTGCACCCAAAGAACATGAACCCAGTGTCCTCTGAAGGTGACATCCTCCGTTGGGCTGTTATGGCACCCCCTCCGTCCGAAATCGAATGCAAATGGCACTTCTGTAAAAGTAACTGATTTATTCAGCAATTGAACCCCAAACATATGATTTATCACCATACTTAATTCTTGAGAAATTTTTGAACTACTACCAAGTCGCATGATGTTATTAATCCGCATATTATAATATGACTATAAAATGCATCATGAGCGAAATGATAACAAGAAGTGAACGGTTTTAGCCCGAAACAATATAACTTTAAACAAATAATCAAAAACCAAAACTCTGTAAAAATATTGTATTATTCTTATATGAGTTACCTCAAAAAAGGAAGCAGCATTCCCACATATAAAATCAGTGGCTCCTTCAATATAACAGTTGTTGTAGTAATGCCTGCCGGTATCGTCAAGTAGGGTATCTTGGTAAGACAAAATTCTGCACACATAAAACGCTGCTCTATCTCCTGAGACTCTTACTGCCACTGCTTTATCACCCCTTCCATAAGTGTTCTGCAATGAATTTCAACAATTAAAATTATTAGATTCAAGCGTATATATGCATTATCATAGGGAATCAAAGTAAGAACGGAGTGTCAACTGTCGACTACCTAACGTACTCCCTCTCCTCTTTTATCCGGCCTTGAGATAGCCTAGTTAGGAAGATTTGGAAAGATACTTAAAAAAAAAGACATGGAATAATTGGAGCTAGTAGAAGACTTGACACAAAACCGAGCGCAATGACGCTAGTATTCATACAGCTGACCCAACTTAGTGGGATAAGATTTTGTTGTTGTTATTATATATTGTCGTCGTAGGTGTATATATGCATGTGAAAATTTTACGTATAATTGTGTGTGTACCTGAATTGTGAGGTAGCGCCCTATAAAATCCGAAGCCAACACAGAGAAAGTTGCAGATTCAAATATATTTCCACTGTCGTTCCACGTAATAACAGTGCCACCTGCCGTTGTGCCACTGATTGTAATAAAGGGTTTGTCTGCGGGGACAGTAATTTTTTCTTTGTAGACTCCAGGGTTAACCTTAACGAACACAAGATCGACGTTATTCGACGGCACGGCGTCGATGGCATCTTGTATTTTCTCGTAATCGCCTTTCCCAGTCTGATCCACGGTTATTAGTATTGCCGTGGACCCCTGAGTTGTGTCTGCTTCTGCTTGAGAAATCGCTAGAAGAACATACAATGAAGCCATGACACAGAAGCACTTGGTCATAGAAGTGCCACAAACAGCCACCATGGTCGCAGTTGGAAGATTTTGGATCAAACACCTCTTAAAAAAATCAATTAATTAAAGATGAATGTGTTGAAGTAAATATTGAAGAATGTGGATTGAATGTTGAAGAAGATGGATCTTAATTGTTATATAGTAGTCTCAGGTGAATGACAGAGGGAGGTGCGGCCGTTTTCTTGGCAATGAAGTTTAAAGATAATTAGAATTAATCACTTTTTACGTAAACGTGTGGAGGATAATTGTAAGGAAATTCCAGAGTAGCCGGCGGCAGGAGATTTGTACATTGAGACTGAAGAAACAAATGTCTGAAAAATGCGTAAATCTGAGGTGGTTAATCAGGTTAATTTGATAAGAAAATGTTGTAATGGCGGCCTAATTAAATTATTGATGTTACAAAAGTCTTGAGTTAGCTTAAGAAGTAGAATAAGTATGTCGTCATTTGAGTGATATTAGGGTTTATGACCCATTACGTTATTTGAGCAGGCAGCTCAGTTGCTTGTATTTGGAGCTTTGACCATGGCTGCCACCATTGTAAACTAGGGCTGAAGCCCGAACAGGTCCAATTCATAATTCTGACAATGAATCACAAGGCGAATATGCACATCGAAGAAAAACTGACAATAATCACTAACATTAATTGCATATAAAATAAAGTGATGTCGGATTGTATGACTATGAGAGTGGGAACGTACATGAAAGGCTCGGTAACTAATGAAATTATTAGCTACTGAGAGGGCTTTTACACACATAGCTAACCCAGCACCAATTCTTCGATATATTTCTTGTTTGAAGTATTCTTGATTCCTATTATAACGAGTGATACCAAATAATTGAATCGGGATAGTTGTTGAACCACACCACAAGTTCCAACAACTACGAAAGCAGCAAAAAAAGACAGCAGCAATATTACTGGAAAGACGGTTTCAATATTTCCGTATGTAATTCCTTTGTATAGGCGTTGCGGTGACGCGGACACCAGAGTTATGCATACTTGAACGGCTTGTGAGAATACAGGCATAAAAGTAAGAAGTATCAAGGCCATTGAGAAGAAGCCCTTCGTCATTCGAGTCGGAAATGTAGCCACCATGTTCGTAGAGAATCACAGAGATATTTGTAAGATGTTATGTAGGCGCGCGTTGCATGCATGCGGGTGGTGAATATATAGGGCTTCCCATATACAAGTATAGTAGGAAGATGAATGTTAAGGGAAATCTTTTAAAAGTGAAACTTTTTATGGATTCTCATTAATCTTATAGTTTAACATCAATTCTTGTATCAATATTATAAAATTTTATGATAAAAGCATGAGATAGCAGAAAATTCATGCATAGTATCACTTTCCGGAGAGTCCCCTTAAAATTTCTCATAGTAGGAATACTAGGTTGGTAATATTTCTATGTATAGAAGGGCAATTAAGTTACCCGCTTCATATCAGTTCTTGATTTTGAACGAGTTTAAACTAATAAATGTTTTCCCGATTTAGTTAGGATTCTGCCTTTGCCTTTGGACGACTCCTTTCTCTTTTGGGAGAGATTTCTGATAAGCTCATATTTATATATATTTTACATCAAATTCACTTGTCTTTTCTTAGTTAGTTCCTTATATTTTTTAGCTATTTACTTTGTTTTTGTGTGTTTGTGGGATTTGTCAAGCAAAGAAAAGAAAAATAGCACAAGTGGGATTTTAAGTAACAATCGTCAAAACTGCATGTGCAGATCCGTTGACTTTGGAAGCAAGTTGGGAACAGCTCAAAATGAATTAGAGAACGAGCCTTATATACTTGGAAAGCTACGGATGTCTATTTTCTAGACCATTTTGCAGATTGCTAATATCATTTTTCTAGAAGAAATTATGGCCGTTTTAATACTGAAAGGTTCCCAAGAGGCTAAGAAGTTTGTAACTGAAAGTAATAAATCCAATAAATCTAGCAACCAAAACTGATGCAGCCAAGAACAAGTCAGCTGACACCTATTCAAATATCAGAGGAAATGAAATTAAAGATGAGGATTGTTGATGCACAAAATCGGAGGTCTTGGAACAATGTAAATCCGACCGTGAATCTGCAAGAAAATAAATAACACAAGATGTATCGTGGTTCACCCCAAGGTTTGGGCTACGTCCACACTGATTATTGTATTTCTCTGAGACGTGAGGGGAGTGAGGGAGAGAGATTAAGAGCCTCTAAGGGAGAGAGTGAGGCCTCTGATGGCCTAGGAATTGGCCTCCCCTAATTGTGAGGGTGAGGAGTCCTTTTATAGAATAAGGGCTATTCACTTATTACATATTTGCCTCTTCCTTTATTACATAATTACATTTAAATCCCCCCGAGTATTTATACAAGATCTAAATACGGAGGCCCTAAGTATGGTACAAACAAGGATTAAGTGGGAGTAATGGGCATAAAGGCTACCTAAAGAGTTATAATTGTTTTACCATTTCCTCTAACTTATTGTCATCACTAAATGAACGTTAGTGGGGTGAGTTATGGAGAAAAAATTGGGGTATCAAGCAGAACAAAAAGGTGCAAGTTGTAGCAGCAAAAGGGAAGAAAAAAGATAGAAAAAAGAAAAAAAAATGGAAAGGTGTAACTGACGAAAATGGGAGGGAAGAAAGCAAGGCAGCAAGAAGTTAGACGAGGAAGAAGGCAGTAGCATTGAGGAAGGAGAGAAGAGGAGACTCGATTCTTTCGGTTTTATCTTCTCAAACCCATGTCTTTCTTTTGGTTTAATTTAAAAATTATGTGTAACTAATTTTTAGTAGTTAGGGGTTGTTTTGAAGCCCCGAATATGATTGCAAGTTTGTTATGACATTTTGTTTCAATTACTTTTATGAATGGATGAAAATTAGTTCTGTTGATGCACAAAACTGGAGGTCTTGGAACAACGTAAATCTGACCGTGAATTTGCTGGGGTTTATACAGATATCTCCGAAAGATACGAAAAATAAATTACATCATTGAAAAAATAAGGAAAGTAAACCACATCATTCTGGTAGGGTGTTTATTCCTTGCTTTTGCAGTGTGGGTGTTTATTCCCTACTTTTGCTTGTGTTTTTCTGCTACACTCTCTCTATCTCTTCATCTGGCAGACAGAAGGAATCATAATAATAGGAAGATCTTTTCCTTTTCTTCTTTTCTCTCCACTGCGTCTCTGTCTTTTGCTTTTGTGCCGTAGCTCACTTGATTGTTTTCTTTTCTGCTTTTTTTTTTTTTTACTTTTGCATGTGGGTGGTCGACAGCGCGCCCTCCTCCTCATCAGTACCTCCAACACCAACTTAGCATCTTATATACTTTGGAGAACCATCAGAGTATTCAGTGGTGGTGGTGGGGTTGTTCTGTGTCCCAAATCCCCTTTAACGACAAAACATGGGTGCTCAAACCCGAAGATTTTTGTCCGCTGTAATTGTTTTTGGGTGAACCGAAACAGATACAACTAGGCACCTCATCCATGAGAACATATACCCTCACCACCTCCGTGAATGACTTCCTCCCACATTCCTCCAGCGATAAACTCATCGACGACGTGCATCTTGAAAAAGTGATAGAGTTACCATGGTAGAGCACACTGGTGGGGAATTGCTACCTAGCCCAACCTGGCGGAGCACACTGGTCATCCCAGTCAATTCTAATTCTCGGTGTCTTGGCAATTGGGGAGCTAAATGGAGGGGTAACAGAAGCACTGATAGAGCCACCATGGATGTAGAGGTTTGGTAGTTTGGATGAGGAGGCTGAAAAGGATGCATATGAGAGATTTTTGAGCCATGGGATAAGGGATCTGCCATTAGCGTTCAGGAGATCCATAGGAAGATGATGTTGGGCTAGGGAAGGAGTAAGAGCCTGGCTTGGATTGTAGGAAGCATAATTACTTGGGAGGAAAGACGAGCTTGGGCTAGCTAATGTGGATCCACCCATCACGTCCATATATTCGACCGGCTTGCATCCCTCGCGGTAAGTGGTGCCGTTGATATGAGAGGCCATGACTTTGTCCATTGCGCCAGCGAGCTTGCCATCGATGAAGACAACGGGAACGGCAAATGAGGTCCCCAACAACCTCATCAACGCCTGAGTCTTTGCCGCCATCGTTGTTGGTCTCCTCCTTCATCATAACCACTGGCTCATTTGAGTTCAAAGCCCAAGAAATCTCTCTCCATCTCAGCTTACCACAATCACTCAAAAAAAAAAATAGCGTACAAAAATGTCGATCTGAAAAAAATCTGACACAATAAATCCTTCAACCAAAATCTCGAGCTAGCTGGAGTTATAAGGAAAAAGCTTCCGCCATCAGCAAACAAAATATGAAGAAATTACAGGGTCCCGAATCCAGAGAGAGTTTGTGGTGTTTTGTTTGGAGAGGTGAAAAAGATCATAAGCAAGAGAGATGAAGGCCAGGCACGTGGTCTGTGCAGTTGCAGAGAGAGATTGAGTCAGAGAGGAGGTGCTCCGTGGCTTTTCTAGGAAATTTTTAGGTTCTTGGGTTTTTGCAGATTCAAGGTGGAAATGAAAAAAAATGAAAGAGAATCGACATAACTTTTCGTGTCGATTCCCACAGACGGCGCCAAATGTTGATGCACAAAACCGAAGGTCTTGGAACAACGTAAATCCGACCGTAAATATGCATGAAATGTAAATAACACAAGATGTATCGTGGTTCACCACAAGGTTTGGGCTATGTCCACACTGATTATGTATTTATCTGAGAAGTGAGGGAGAGAGATTCAGAGCCTCTGAGGGAGAGAGTGAGGTCTCTAATGGCCTAGGAAATGGTCTCCCCTAATTGTAAGGGTGAGGGGTCATTTTATAGAATAAGGGCTTCTCCCCTTTTTACATATTTGCCCCTCCATTTATTACATAATTACATTTAAGTCCCCAAGTATTTATATGAGGTCTAAATACGGAGGCCCTAAGTACGGTAGAAACAAGTTCACTACTTGTCTCATTGATGAATTCTTTATGTGTTTTCTACGGATGCATACTTAGTAAGCATCTCTAGGATTTAAATGCTATGAATATGTGTGTGTCTGCCCTTGTCGAATGAGGACCTACATATGTTCTAGAGTAGTAACATGTGAATCAATTTATAGGATAAGTAAGACAGTGCCAGTACTTACGATACCTTATAATGACTCAAACTCTTTTCGTTCTTAATGATTTCTACTTGTTAAATCTATGAACATGCCATTCTAGATTGCATGCTAGGGACTAAGTTAAGTTGAAAGCGTCATTCTCTTAACATACTACATAAGAAAGAGTAATATGTTGAGTTCTAACATTGAGCCAACTTGAGCATCTTCATCCGGAAATAAAAGGAATTTGAATGAAACATAGCATGTTTGCATGATTATTTGGTGGTGGATAGCAATTCCCCTAACTCGTTTTTCTTAATTTGTGAACTACTTAAAATATGTTTCTGTCCTGTTTTTATTCGATTTAATTTAAATAGAAAATCAACTCCAAAAATTCCAAAATTTTGTGTGAGTGTAGCTCTTTGTGTCTAGTGTCTTCATATAAAATTTCGTAGACTTTAGATAAGTGTAAGTTGGTCTAATAATTATTTCCGATGGCTGGTCAGTAGGGACATCAGCCCAGTTTTTGTGACATTTTAAGTAGTTAGATAAAACAATCTTCTGCAGGAAAAACCTTTATTTTCATATGCTACAATTGAAAAATCTTAATGTTAATAAGGAAAATCAATAGGACATTTGTGTGCTTCTTTGTGATGTGCCTTTAATCCTATCAATTTATGAGTGGGGTAGTTACATGCCATGCAACGTTATTGATCTTTATTATGAAATAAAAGATTAATGACAAGGTTGATATGTCATAAACATTTGATATATAGTTAATAAAGATAATAATATTAAATTTTAAGTGAATTCATAACTTTACTCAATGGTGTAATCCGTTGTCACATGTTATTTTCATGAGTACCATTATATATTTAGACACACGAATTTGACATTTGTTGACCAGTCTCTAACACAAATAAATTTCAATACACTACTAATTTAGTAGATCAAAATAGTTTTAGAAATAAAATGTATAACGAAAAACCACAAGTACAACCAAGTCCAGTATAATAAAAAAGGAATGCATCCCAAGCCGTCGTTGACAAAGATCCCAAATATAACAATTCTGAATAAAATGACCAAAACTAGTAACAACGTTAGTGAGAGAATTATTTCTCTGCAGATGAAAAACTCCGCCAGGTAAGAGATATCCTCCACAATTGTTTTGAGCCTCCACGAACGTGACACTTTCTTTGAACAACATCAATGACCAATTTCAAATCTCCTTCCACACAAATTTTTTCAAACCTTTTAATCTTAACAAATTTGAGGGCATCTCGTAATAAAATGGCCTCAGCAACTGAAATTGTGTTGTGATAAAAAAAAGCATGCAAAAATCACTTCTATTTTAGGATTTTTATATTAACACTCCACAAAATGTTGAATACACATCACATTAAAATTTAATATTAAATGACTTATTTACTTCACTATGTAATGACAATTTTGACCTTATTAGGTTTTAAAAAAATAAAGATTTATAAATACACCCCAAATCACTTTTAGCGTATTATTTATCTTCTCAACTATCAAACATGTTGATTAAGAAAAATTGTTTTTGACGAATGGAACACGAAATCAATGTTTCAAGAGCTTCACATGAGGTAAGACTTCATAGTTTTCATTGTTTTAGTGATTTCGATGGTATCGATAATTATTTAATCTTGCGTTTGCTGCATTATTTAAACTTCTATATTCATATTCATCTTTTAGTGTTCATATGGTTAGATTCAATCCCTAAAAATAAAAAATGAGTGTTATAAGATTTGAGAAATGTGGGGTGTAAAGAAAATGTGGGGTGCATGTACAAAATATAAGATGTATATTGAGAATGTGGGGTGTGGGGGTATTATGGGAAAGTAAAGGGTGTATTAAGAAAAATTTTAAATGAAAAAGTAAATATGGAGTGTATTAAGTTTGTGAGATTTATTCAACAATTTGTAGGATATTAATATAATTAGCCTTATTTTAAATGGTAAATATTTATTGTAGTTCATTTTATCGTGTAGGCTCTAATTCTATCTTCTGGCCCATATTGTTGTGTATTCCTCCAGTCAGTCCACATGTCATGCACAAAAATAAGCATGCATGTCAATAAGAGACCCAAAAAGAAGAGACAACTCCTTTGAAAAACGACCCTAGTCCATAAAACGACCCTAGTCCATAAAATACCATGTTTGCTAGCTAATAGGAAATAAATTTCAAAAAAAAAAAAAAAAAAGAGGAACAGTTATCAGAAAATCTTGCATAGAAGTAGCTGGCATTGCTCCCGATATTTCAAATGTGACAGTGGAATTTATGGAAACACCGAGGAGGGGGCATGACAGCCCAAACTTTATCCATGTTCAATAATGCTGAGTTTGTTTAGAAGTATTTTTAGTAAAATTGGTTTTTTTTGGGAAGAAATATCAAATATGTGCTTGCAAGAAGTACTTTAAGTGCACTTCTAGGATCTACTTCAATTTTCACTAAAGATCGGTTTCAAAAAATATTTTCATCAAAAACACTTTCAGTCATTTTAAAAACACTTTCAAACGAGCCCTTATATAAATTTTTTTTTTTTTCACACGACATTGTATTATTATATTAAGAAATTACGTGACAGTAAATTCGTTTTACATAAGTTTTTCTTATGTAAAGATGCCAATCAATTTTTTTTTTTGTCGAAGATGCCAATCAATTAAATTTGAAGGAAACAAGCTTTGGTGTATCCTCGTTGGCAGTGCCTCCAAGTCCAGCAATGGTCATGGCTGCCACTGCTTAATAATAACATTTTAGGGCTCCACATTTCAAATCCATGCGATAATTGTGGTCTGATGATAGCAAACATTTTTGGTCATATAGTTTGAGGCCTTTTTAAGTACGACTTAAAATGTTTTGGTCACTCCTACTTGTTTCCACTTTGACAGTTGGAAGGACTCATTTGTTAGTTTTTAATATGATATATGAAGCATATTAAGAACCTAATTAAACAAGCAGATGCTTCTTTTTCCCTTTCCATGATTCCATCTGTATATATAATCTATGCATATTGTAATTACATAAAGTAGACAAACTTAATTAAAGCTTATGTTTGTAACCCACATGTCCAATGGTTGTGGAGGAATTCTAAGCTTGTATTGCACATAACACGTTTTTGGTTCGATTTGTGGCTGGTGAATCACAGAATGATTGTCAGGAGGATGCTAAAATATTTTTGTGAGTCTTATAAATTTCAATAGAGTAGAATGTTGTGACGAAACTACCAGATAATCCTCTTTTTGCAAAGGAATAAAACTAGCTTATGTTTGTTATAATCCGAGTACTTGAACTGAAAAATAATTAAGTGGTGGGTGGAGTGGGCCATATGACCAATCATGCATTCCACCAGCAAAACAAGAGGTTAGATCTCACTAACATTCTATGAATCTATGAGGATAGATATCTTTATCACTTAATTCAGAAATCCTACCGAGAGTTGCTCGCACATGGTTCGTTTATGATTATTTCATCTACAAGCAAAAGATGCACACATTCACGATTATCCCTAGCTTTATCAAGGGACTGTCGACACTTGCTTCTTTCGAGTTAACTGTTTTAGATCTTGATGAAGATAAATTTATTAGTTGATAATCATCTTCGTTTGTGAAATATTTGTTCATTCTAGTTTCAAAAGATAAAAATTTACTAACAACTAGAACGTTGAAACGACAAAACTTTAAGTTAATTAACTACGCATTCCACATATTTGAACGCTTTTTATTTTCAAATTGTAATTGACTTAAAATACTGACAGAATAACATCTCGTCCCATGACAATCTTTCCCCTAAACGTAGCTCTAAACATTTCCGGTGAACTATCTCATCTGAAATTGAAAGACAGGACCTCATGTCCTTCTTCCCCTTCCTTTTCCTCCAAAACTCCCAACAAAGCTGACCTTATCCAATCCAATGATTGCCCTCATGTTAATTAAATAAATTATTTGCCTAACACACATTTATCTTTCAGCTCGTTCACTGTATTTAGAAAACTGAGGCGTGAAATGAAACCCTAAAATAATTCAGAATAAAAGCACAGAGATAAAGGCATTAACACGTGCAAGTATGACTGTTGCTGGTGACCTTGCTGACACCGACTCATCCGTCAATATTTCTGGTTTCCCGCCCGGAGCTTCAACTCCAAACACTAAAACTCGTAAACCAGAAAATAATGATTTAGTGGTGGGGATAAATTTCAGGCAAGTATTCTATATTACGCTTTGGATTCGACTTTTGTAAGTTGTGACGTTGGTAAAACACATGATAATGACCAAGAAGAAGCAAAAATCTCCACAAATTTTCATGATCTCTATAAAAATGGACTACCGTGATGGAACTCACCTCTTTTTCTGAAAAGAAAAGAAAAAAACCACAAAAACTGGTATTAATTTACGACAATATTCCTATATTTAACCAATGCCACTAGGCAAACTTTTGGTTGGTTCGAGCCAAAGAATCAATATATAAATCATTTTCCATTTTCCATGCATGCATTGCATGCTTCGGAGTCTCGGACCTCGGTGCCTTGTGGACCTTTTTTGGAGGGATTTATGAAGATAATATAACTTCATGTATGCTTAACATTGTTGACTCACAATCTATTGTTTAAGATCTAATCTATCTAGCTTTCATTTTTCTTATATACATTTTTTACCATCAACGAGGACATTCCAGCGGTCTCCGTTTCATCACATGCGAATGAGCTATTCGCACGTGATGAGAATTGGTGTACTTTCGGCTGCTTGTCACAAGCTTCATGAGGATTACAAGTACATAAAGTAAAGTTGTTTTACTTATAGTATGACTAGTGCATGTGTCTATTTGATTGCAGGAGTTATCGTGTTCAATTTCCGTAGATGCGAAATGATAAATATTTTTGTTCAGTTCGATACGTGACTAATCATATAAGGTTTATTAATCTTTAATATATGGTATCACTTCATGTCTTAAATGATTTGAAGATATATAAGTCCTAATTTCACCACAACAAAACAACTATTTAGCAAGGAATAAAAAAAAAATAGTATTTATGAAAAATAGAAAATTACATCAGTTTACCAATATATAGTTGGTTAGTAGTTACAAAAAGAACATACAGCCCTATGACAAGATTTTACCGCTATGAGAAATTCGTTTTTTTTTCTTCCAGAAATTAAGGCAACATGTGGTAATTAAGTTGACTAAGTTACACATGGAAAAGAAAAATTAAATAGACAAAAATATTTTTTTTAGTTATTTAATAATTTTTTATAGATATGATTTTCAAATAAAAATTAAGAAACTAAACAGTTCTAGTTATAATATTTATACGTTGAAAAATGTTATCTACAATGAGAAGATATGTGCATTTTTCCGCTCTTAGAGAAATGTAAATATTATCTATCATGGGTACTATTATTTCTTTCAAATTATAAGTAGAAAATCTTATATTCGATTATTATAAATAAAGATTTCGAAAATAAATTATTCTCAGCCTATTGTATAGTTTAATTGACTTTCATTCTCATGCTATCATGTAAAAATGGATTTGACTTCAATACTTATATATATTTAATACAATCACATTCTCAATGTTCAGATACTAGTTGTATGAAAGGTAGTACTATTCATACACTTATTTTTACCTCCTATACACATTTGTTAATTTTTGTCAATTGATCTTCTTCAATCCATTCGTTCCGATGGTAAAAAATTAAGAGGTATATGTAAAAGGTAAAAATAAGTGAGTGAATATCACAACTGTTGTGTAAAATACATATATTCATACGAATTATATATGAGCGTCGGATAACGATTGTATTAAATAAAATAGTAATATTCTTGTGTAAACACTATGTTCTCATAAGAAAATCAGACAGACGCGACCGTAGGATAGGTACCCGGTTAAAAGAACGGCCACAAACAGATCTTCCAACAATGCGGGGCCCACCGCAATGGAGGCTGAAGCAAGCGTGTGGGCGCACACGTGGAAGTGGGGCCCCAGTAGTTTAACCGGCAAAAAATAGAAGTTGGTTACGAAAAAGGGAGCAGAGGCGTTTTAAAGAGCAGGATTCCAACCTCCTCTTCCGAAAGAGAACAGCTTTTCGGCTGAGAGAGAGAGACGGTCAGGTGTTGGTGGCGGCGCACGGTGGTTGAGGTGGTGGTTGTAGTGGCACGACTCGTCGCCTGCTGCTGCAACCAACTGTAAACAACCGCAATCTCCACGGCATTTCAAATTAAATTAAATTTCAATTTTCATTTGGATAATTTTATGTTTATAAAATTCAGAAATTGAAAATATCAGCTTCTTTGGCGTTGTTCGTTTTGGCCTCGCCGATATGGTCAATAGTATATGCGTATATACCCTCTCTCTCTCCTCTCTCACTTTCTCTCTCTAAAGCTTTTGTATTTGTGCGCGACATTGGTGATTTCCTACAAGCCTCCAGAAATCCCCACGCGCATTTGCCTCCTCCCCTACTGGTACATTCTCTCTCTCCCTCTCTAAACTGAATCTTTGAGCTTCTTCAAGCGATCCGGATTTTAAGTGTTTTAGTAGGATCTCGATTTTTTGCAATTTTTTTCTAGCATTTTTTCATGCGATTTCAGGTTCGGAATGTTAAGAAATTCGATTTTTAGTGTAAATTTCGAGTATTTAATTTGATTTTTTCTGTTTTGTGATGCACATTGTTCTTAATTCTTAGCATTTTCGTCGATCAAATTTCAATACTTTCATGTTAAATTAGTGATTGTTGTGATGCAACCTGAAAAATAATTCAAATTTTGCAGGATTTTTTTATGAAGAAAACGTTCCACTGAAAAAGAAATAAATAAAAAACCGATCTTCCAGGTAAAATTTTATTTTTTATGATTGTGATGTTCTTCGAATTTGATTTTATAGATTCTTATGGAAGCTTTTCGTATAATTCGATCTGTGAAATTACGAAAAATATCAGCTACAACATTTGAATTGTGATCATAGTTGTTGTGGAAATACTATTAGAGTGAGTGATGCAGTTCAAAAACGTGTTTCACGAGCTACTGGAAATGAGAGATGACAAGGGGAAGAAATCAAGAAGAGGAGGGGAAGAGAGGAAGCACACGCGCCGCCGAGCTAAATCTCACATTGCCCCAGAGCATACGTTGTCATCACCTGCATCAGTTGAGCAAAGCAAGTGGGCAAACTTGCCCCCAGAGTTGCTTCTTGACATAATCCAACGCGTCGAAGAGAGTGAGACTTCCTGGCCTGCTCGGAGAGATGTGATTGCTTGTGCTTCGGTTTGCAAGTCATGGAGGGAGATTACGAAAGAGATAGTCAAGACTCCTGAGCAATGTGGCTGGCTTACCTTCCCTGTCTCACTCAAGCAGGTATTTTTCGATAAACAACATTCTTTAGGTTATTCTTATTGAATGTGACTTTCACTTACCTACTAAAGATTTTCACTTTCCTCATTACTTGCATATATTTACTAGCCGGGACCAAGAGATCATCCGATCCAATGCTTTATTAAGAGGGAAAGAGAAACTTCAACGTATCTACTGTACCTTGGTCTTAGCCCCGGTAAATGTTTGGATGCTTCTCCCCTTATTATTCACGAATCATGACTTGGGTGTGTTAGAAATCGGTGTTCAAATTCTTTCGCAATGGATTTGTAAACGCGTGACTAACTCTTTCTTATAAATCTGCAGCTCTGTGTGGGGATGTGAGTAAGTTATTGCTGGCAGCAAGAAAGGTCAGAAGGGCAGCAAGTACACATTTTGTGGTGTCCTTGGCTGCAGATGAATTCTCTCGAGCAAGCAATTCTTACGTTGGAAAACTAAGGCAAGCTTAAATAAAATGTATCTTTATCATTGACACGGTCATTCATTTTTCATTTTGTGCTGTTACACCTACGACTCATTCTTCTTTTCGTGCAATTTATTGGAAAATGCTGTGCAGGTCTAATTTTCTGGGTTCCAAGTTTACCGTTTATGACAGTCAGCCTCCACAAGGCTCAGCAATCCAAACAAATTATTGGTCACACCGAAAGATGAATTCAAAGACGGTATCTCCAAGGATACCTGCTGGTAGCTATAGTGTTGCTACCGTATGTTATGAGCTCAATATCCTCCGAACAAGGGGACCAAGGAGAATGCAGTGCATCATGCAATCAATCCCCGTGTCAGCAGTTCAAGAAGGGGGCGTTGCTCCTACTCCAACAGAGTTAGCGACCTGCCTTCCTCCAAAATGCTGTCCAATGCATGTTTCAAAGGGATCGAAGCAGCTTGCCAACTTGTGCTCTAGTGTCCCTACAACGGATTTGGAACAAGGCACAAAAGATCCACTCATTTTGAAAAATAAAGCTCCTAGATGGCATGAGCAGCTGCAGTGTTGGTGTCTGAATTTTAAAGGACGCGTTACCGTGGCCTCCGTGAAGAATTTCCAGCTGGTGGCCGGTGTAGAGCCATGCCATAATGTTCCTTTGGCTGAACAAGAGAGAGTAATACTGCAATTTGGGAAGATCGGTAAAGACATTTTCACAATGGATTATCGCTACCCTCTCTCTGCTTTCCAAGCCTTTGCAGTTTGCTTGAGCAGCTTTGACACAAAACCAGCATGCGAATGATTCTTGTCTATTCTCTCATCACATGACTATCGTGCTCGTCTTCCCTTAGAATTAACTGTAATTATACTTTTGGAACAGTGCACTTTAAGCTATGGCTTTTGGTCATTAGCAAGTGCCTTCGTTGAAGTCGCAGTAGTCTGTGTAATGGCAGTAACCTGTATAAAGCATGGTGTAAGTTGCCAATTTATTTATTTGCGCAGAAGCAGTTGTATGCAACTTCCTCCAAGTATGTAACATCACTTCTAGATATTCCATGTTTCACTTTCTGGAGGATGTACGAAAATCCCTCTTTTCTCATAAAGATCTCTTGTATTGAATCTTGTTTTTCAAATGCAATTTTGCAGAATTTTGTACATGCTTCGTATTAATTTCCTATTCTCCTTTTGTACACAGACGGTTACAGTTATGCGTGCTATATATTTTTCTTACATCTCTGCTGGCAGATCTTCATCAGAGAATCCCAGTATTGGTATCTTCTCTATTCATTCCGCAACTATAGCGGCAGCCATGACGCCGAGGCTTTTCAGGATTATCCGGGTCTGAATCACTTGGTTCCATGAAGAGCCCTCGAAGGCACCTCCGTCTCACAGTGGATTCGTGAGTAAGCTTCTCAGACGGTGTTTTTGTTATTTGAGCCTTGTGTGTTTTGAGGGGATCTGATTTACCATTTGGCTTGATTGATTCTGCTGGGCTATGAGAAAAAACCGTCTGAACACCTGGATTCCTTTCGGCCACGGAAGTATTGAGAACGATAGCATTATTGATGCTCTGTACATTGTTGTTGATATATGCTATCATATGTCGATCTTCTTTACTTGTTTGATCGAATTTTTCCCCCTCGCTGCTTACCTCTCCATCAGTAGTAGCCTCCAGGCTGTCATCTGGATTGGTCTTATAACTGCGGTGTATGGGCATGAATTCTCCTCCTTTTTCCGGTTCTGAGCTAATGTGCATTGATGCTCCTCTGTTTTCACCAGCTACAGTTACAATGCTAACTGGTTTTTCATGCATTTGGTCCTCAATGGCCAGCTTATTAAGTTTCAAAGCATTTTCCCTGATTTCTCTATGCAGGGGAGCTTGCTTCACGGTTGATGAAACCATCTTCTGAATAGATATCCTTGGGGTGCTTGTGTCTTCTGGAGCTTTGGTCAGTTTCGAACTGGAGCTGGAGCTGGCTAATGTCTCCTTTCTGTCAAAAGCTTCTTCCTTACTGTGCCGCTGCTCTGCTTGCGATGCAACTTCAAGTAGGTCTTTGGTGTGCTTTCCGAAGCCTGTTACTGCAGCATGAAGTTGAGTGGCTGTTTCCTGCATCAGTTCTTTATAGTCTGGATCGTTTGCCTTTTCTTCTTTTATCACTAGCAGTACTTTCTCCCTTTCTTTATGCTCTTTCGACTCTGTCTCTGATTCGGGATGGTGCTTTTGATCTCCGCCAATGGTATCAGGATCTACCTTCTTGGGTGAAGCAACGGTTTCCACAGCTTCTGCGGAAGCTGCATGAGTTTGAACGGTGGTTGGAGTATTATTCTGAGCTTTGAAAATAGTTTCGGATGTGCTGATTGCTGCATATGGTTCCTTTGGTTCTGGTTGAGTGGCAGGTGATGGAGATTCAGCAGAGAAGGAAGGAAGCTGAGAGTTCTCTTGAGTGTGGGGCTGCGAATGCGCTTTAGGGGATTCTTGTGATGCTGCTTGGGGTTGAGAAGCTATGGGAGATGGTGAGGATCGAAAGGATTCAACCCGAGTCTGAGCTGTTGCACTAGAAGCTTTTCGGGACTCAGTGGCAGCATGAGACGGTGAGGGTGGAGAGGATTCAACTTCAACCCGAGTTTGAGTTGTTCGACTAGAAGAATTTTGGGACTCGGTGGCAGGGCGAGATGGTGAGGATGGTGAGGATGGAGAGGATTCAACTTCAACCCGAGTTTGAGTTGTTCCACTAGTAGAATTTTGGGACTCGGTGGGAGAACGAGATGGTGATGGTGGTGGAGGTTCATTCCTTGACGGTGCCTGAGCTTGGGAAGGAGAGGCTTTCACAGGGGCTTTCCCTGCAGGCCGAAATGGTGGTCGCTCAACAGGGATTGAGGTGGTGGTCTGGGCAGGGTTTTGGGTTTTAGCCACTGGACGTGGGTCGGGTTCTACTTGAGAACCACGAGTACGCCAAGGGAGCCGAAAGTGAAATGATTGTGGATGCTTTTTGTCTGCCATGTATGGTTTGGAAATGAAAAGGTTGGCTTTGTTGAAGAAGATGAAGGATGCTCACCACTTATCGAAAAGTCTGGTATATATCGAAATTGTATCAGATACCTTGGAAACTTTCTGGGATTTCTGTCAAATTGGTTTATACCTTTTCTGGATATGGATGCTCACCTCTCTTACAAACTTATGATTCACGAGAAATCGGCAATTCCCGAAGGCAGGTTTTCCTTCCCTAACAGGTATGGAATGTCTCATTTTCTTGTTTCGGAGGATCCCGGAAAGGCATGCAGAGTGCGTATACTTTACTGGAATGCCGTTTTAGAGCATAATCGTTGTTCACGTGATACATAAAAAGGGTTGCTACTGTTTGAAAGTTTTCACTTTGTTTTCTTTTAAATCAATCACGCCTTCTCGGAAGAGAAACTTACCTACACCAGAGATTCCCACGGTAGCTCTGGAGTTTCGATATAAACTTTCCATCTGGGCAAGTAACCTGGCAAAGAAGTAAACAGTGTAGATGCAAAGTAAATTTTCCTTCATGCAGTCATTCAAGAAAGGAATAAGGTGTAAGTACATTGTCAAGTAAGAGATGACTTACACCAGCATCTTGCTCCTTCGGCTGCTAATCCGAATTACCATACATGAGGCAGCGTACACTTTCTCCCTCATAACGGGAGCTTCCAATCGAGTTCTGAGGTAGCTTTTCGTATCTGCACACCAAGGTCTGTATCAATAGTTTTCATCTATTTCTTTCGTCTAAGTTCAACCCACAATTGTCGAAGTTTTCGTGATTTTCCTTAAACAGGAACAAAAATGCAAGGAATTTCGCGGGCCGTGCGGTCATGCCGGGAAATACTCAAGTCTGCAATTTTACAGCATTCGCGTGGGGGTGAAGTTGCCGGGTTAGAAAAGATAGTTTCGCGTTTAAAATGGGTTACCTCTCCACCTGCACAGGAAAAGGGACTAGAGAATGTGACTGTGGCAGATGTACTGGCGACAAAGGGTAATGTAGAAACCGGACCCTGGCTCTGGTGTCACACGAACGACGCAGTAATTGATGCAGTAAAAAACGTACGATCTTACCATGCATCTGTACATATAAAACTCATACTACACTCGTGTTTATATTACATATGAGCATGAAATTGCAGATGGCGAAACAAAATATCGGGTCGTTACTGGTGCTGAAGCCAGGAGAGCATCAGCATATTGCAGGAATCATCACAGAAAGAGGTAAGTTGTTTACAGAACTAACTGCATGAAAAAAATTATGTATCAACAAGTTATTCGGATTCTATTGACCGCGGTGTGAACCGAGCAGACTACCTGAGGAAAGTAATTGCACAGGAAAGATCTCCCATCTACACAAGAGTTGGAGAGATTATGACTAATGAGGTCAGTTCAAGTTTACGTTCTTAGCAACCAATCGACTTTGGACGCGCCGATTTTTCTTATGAACTTTACCTCTTATACAGAACCAATTAATAACAGTAACTTCCGACATGAACGTTCTTCAAGCTATGCAACTTATGACAGGTACGCCGTGGCACGATTTCTGTTCTTTAACTACCATAGACATTGAAGTGAACAATCATTCGGTTGTTCATAAACGTGTGGAAGCAATTACGTGACGATTTTTTTCATGTCAACAGAGAATCACATAAGGCATGCTCCAGTTATAGATGGGAAGCTAGTTGGCATGATTTCGATCAAGGATGTAGTCCGGGCAGTGGTTGAGCAGCAAAGCGGGGAACTGAAGCGACTTACTGGGTACATCAAAGGAGAATACTATTAGAAGAACATATCTCAGTTTATGTTCATCAAACTACAGTAGAGCAAATTTCAAAACTACCTCCAACATAAAGCTTCCTAAGACTTTCATGTGTTAGAAGCGGAAATTGTAGTTCAAGTGATTAAGAACGCTCATCCCTGAAGTCATGTATTCGAATTCCCGATCTCCATATATTGCTTGATTAATAAAGAATCAATTATAATTTTCAATGACCAGTTTTCAAGGGAAAGAAATTAATGAAAATCGTAGGATTTCAAAGCGAAATCCAAGTCTAAACTTAGACGAGCCAAAATGATTTTGAAAAACTTTGATTGAACCTTTATTTCGGGAATCACTTAGGCCGCCTAATAAATGCAGAGGTGAGGGTATTCCTTTACAAAATAGGTTCCATCACCGTCATTTTAAGGTTCCCTCTCTTGATTTAGGGACCCCGTTTATTTTCATTCTCATATTCTCTCTAACCTCTCAAAGCCCGGACATAAAATGTAGCACCACATTACAATAACGAAACATTGGAACACCCAACCACGGACGCAACCTAATTTGGATGAACTACAGAAAAATGCTCGCGTTCTTGTGTGTGTGTGATCTCACGGTGTCAATCTCGTTGATTCATTTTTGAGCACCTATTAACCTAATTGTAAACAAAAAGGGGAATAATATGGTATCTCGACAAGAAGTCGGGCCACAGAACAATATTCGCGATCCCATTTGCCTCCAATTTCGAAAGCAACATATACTCTAGCATAGTTGCAGATTCAATTTCAATTTCTTAGGAACTCAATATTTGATATATTCGGCATGCTATAAAGGGCGACCACAAACCAACAAGGCTCCATGTTTTGTGAGAGTTGGAACGTCTATCGTGCGCAACCTTACTTTTGCTTTCCAAACATGTTTCTCATGACTCGAACTTGTGACTTTTCGGCAATACTATAAAGCATATATATCACCACAATTATTGCACAACTCCCATTGGCTGGCAGATGAACCTTCTTATCTTTTCGAACATTCTATCAACACAGGATTGTTCAAAGATCAAAAGACCTCAAGATTTTGATGCAAAAATTCTCCTCTTACAGTGGTTCTCCTCCAAAGATCAAAGCTTTTTGGTGGCAGATGATTGGACCTTGTGTGGTGGGGGAAGCTGGAATCCAATTCCTCCAAAGTCTGTGGTTCTTGTTCTAGGCTAGTAATGCTTTTTGGTCAGACCAAATAGCCTATTTCTAATCTAAAAGACGTCAGATGTCAAAAGTTTTGGTTCCTCAAAAGTCATGGACTGTGAACGGAACATCTTATCCGTCATCTTCCTAGCTATCTATTTCTGAACACTTTCTTTAAGACCATGATGAGGGGGAAATCATTGGTAAGGATGACCAGATCACTTAACTGTTTAATCGAAGACATATTGAGTGGGGTCGAAATACAAAAGGAGGAATAGGTGCGAAGTTCTACCTCTTGGGTTAAATAGTCTCGTAGTCCGGTCATCCAAACTCAAGAATTTTTCTTTATTGGGAGGAAATAAGTCAAACGGCCACGAGGTCTGATCATCCAAACCTTAAGATTTCTCTATGCTGACAGTGAGAGAAAAACTTATCTCTTGTGACACATAATTAGTTTACAACAACACATATTGCTTGAAATATTGCCGCAATAACATCCTTGTAAGAGAAAAGTTCATCCTAAAAGCTAAAGGACTAACAAACAATTTGGAGGGGTGGGGATACCTTATAGCTGGGAGAACTAAGGTCATCTCCAACTGACCCGACCAAAAGGTTATAGGGTTAAAAACAGATCGGAATGACACAAAAACCATCTCCAACCAAGGGCTAGGCCAAAGGGCTTGTGGACCCCACCGGGCCCAAACCCCCAAAACATGCCAATAGGCTAGCCATTTCCAACCAGCCAGCCAGCCCTCCAGCGCCAGAATGTCCAGGTTGACATTTTGCCAGCCCTCCAGCTCCATAATGTCAACCTTGACATTTTGTCAGCCCTAAAACTCAACTCATTTGAATGACAACGGCTACCTAGCGTCATCATGATGCCAGCAAGCTAACGTCATGCTGCCATCAGGTTACCGTTAGAATTTGAATTTTTTTTGAACGAATTTTAAAAAAAAATTCTAATTTTTTTTCTTCCTATCTAAAATTTGCATAACCAATTACATCTCGGCATGTGGCACTTGAAATCCTATCAAAAAATTATTAAAATTACATAAACATAAGAAATCTGGAGAGTTACTCACTTTAGCGACACATGTCACTCAAAATTATTGAGATTATATAAAAATAAGAAATCTGGAGAGTTACTCACATTAGCGACACGTGTTACTCGGATTGTCACATCCTGGCCTAGGTCCACCATATTTCTGGCATATTCTACCGCCGTAGCATGATATTGTTCTTTTTGGGCTTACCATTCCCTCACGATTTTATTTTTGGGAACTCACGAGCAACTTCCCAGTGGGTCACCCATCCTGGGAATGCTCTGGCCTCCTTCTCGCTTAACTTCGGAGTTCCTACGGAACCCGAAGCTAGTGAGCTCCCAAAATGCCTCGTACTAGGTAGGGATGGAAATATACATTTAAGGATCACTCCCTTGGGCGATGTGGGATGTCACAATCCACCCCCCTTAGAGGCCCGACATCATCGTCGGCACACTTCCGGCCAGAGATTGTCTCTGATACCATTTTGTCATATCCCGACCCGGGTCCACCACATCTCGGGCCCGTTCCACCACTATAGCACGATATTGTCCGCTTTAGGCTTACCATTCCCTCACGATTTTGTTTTTGGGAACTCACGAGCAACTTCCCAATGGGTCACCCATCCTGGGAGTGCTCTGACCTCCTTCTCGCTTAACTTCGGAGTTCCTATGGAACCCAAAGCCAGTGAGCTCCCAAAAGGCCTCGTGCTAGGTAGGGATGAGAATATACATTTAAGGATCACTCCCCTAGGCGATGTGGAATGTTACAATCCAGAGTGATTCTTAAATGTATATTCTCATCCCTACCTAGCACAAGGCCTTTTGGGAGCTCACTTGCTTCGGGTTTCGTAGAAACTCCGAAGTTAAGCGAGAAAGAGGCCAAAACACTCCCAAGATGGGTGACCCATTAAGAAGTTGCTCATGAGTTCCCACAAACTTAAAACCGTGAGGGAATGGTAAGCCCAAAGCGAACAATATCGTGCTACGGTGGTGGAAGCCCGAGATGTGGTGAACCCGGGCTGGGATGTGACAAATGGTATCAAAGCTAATCCCTGGCCGGAAGTGTGCCGACGAGGACGTTGGGCCCCTAAGGGGGGTGGATTGTAACATCCCACATCACCCAGGGGAGTGATTCTTAAATGTATATTCTTATCCCTACCTAGCATGATGTCGTTTGGGAGCTCACTGGCTTCGGGCTCCGTAAGAACTCCGAAGTTAAGCAAGAAGGAGGTCAAAGCACTCCCAGGATGGGTGACCCACTGGGAAATTGCTCGTGGGTTCCCAAAAACAAAACCGTGAAGGAATGGTAAGCTCAAAACGGACAATATCGTGCTACGGTGGTGGAACAAGCACGGGATGTGGTGGACCCGGGCCGGGATGTGACAAGGATCCTATCCAAAAAATTATTGAGATTATAAGAAATCTAGAGGTTTATTCATTTGGCAACAAGTGGCACTTAAAATATGTCCGAAAACCTTGTTTTAATATAGTAGTTTAATTTAATTAACCATATTAATTTAATTAAAATATTAAATTATGTTTGGCCTATGGCCTTTTAGCCTCCTTGGTTGGAGATGATTTTTTGTCAAAGGGCTATATTTGGCCTATGGCCCTTTGGCCGCTTCGGTTAGAGATGGTACAAAATATGGCCTAATACTGTTCATTAAAATATAATTTCTTGTAGGGCTATATGGCTAAAGGGAGCCATTTGGCCCCCCATCTCCAACCAACCAGGCCAAAGGGCTAAAAATAGCCCGTTTTGACATGAAAACCGTCTCCAACCGATGGCTAGGCCGAATGGCTCGTGGGCCCCACCCAACAAAAAATGGGAGAACCGGCCAAAGGGCTAGCTAAGACCAACCAACCCTATAGCCCAGCCCAAGCACATGCTATCTGACGTCAGGTTACTGTTTGACTTTATTTTTATTTTTTTTATGACGAAATTTAAAAAAATATATATATATATATATTATAAATACCTAAGCCATTTCGACCTCATTTCTCACATCATTTTCACCGTTCCATACTATCTTACCTCATTTTATTTAAATTCTTCACCAATTTTTCACAGCCTTTTCATTCTATAAAGATAAGAAATCCGAAGGTTTATTAATTTAGTGACAAGTGGCACTTAAAATATATCCGAAAACCTTATTTTAATATGGTAGTTCAATTCAATTAATCATATTAATTTAATTAAAATAATAAATTATGTTTGGCCTATGACCCTTTGACTCCCTCGGTTGGAGATGGTTTTTTGTCAAAGGGCTATGTTTGGCCTATGACCATTGGACCCTCTCGGTTGAAGATTGTATAAAATATTATCTGACATTATTCATTAAAATATAATTTATTACAAAACTATAGGACTAAACATGGTCCTTTGACCCTCTTTCGATCGGAGATGACCTAACCTTATCATAACTTTTCCACAAGTGGACTTGAGATATTAAAAATATTAAAAATTCAAAGAATCAAATAGATTTAGTGGATTTTTCAAACAAAGATTTCAAGAACATTTGCCTGAATGCATACATATATATATATATATATATATATATATATATATCAGTGTGTGTGTGTGTCTTACATATAGAAGCGATCTCCTTGCTCCTCCATTGTTGCAGCATCTCCTAAGCCAAAGAATCCAAGCAAACAGACAGACTCCTTCCTGCTCATAAAAAACATGTTGCACAATGTAAATTATTCAGACACAAAAAACACCGACGCGACCATCAACATCAGAAGAAAAAACATCTATGACACGTCATGCATTCTATTGACAATTTGCGAGGCTTGTTATAGTGTGTCATGATGGGAGGGTTAGCGTGTCAAGACAAGTTATAACTTGTCAAGACATGTCATGCCCTACATTCTAGCGACAATTTGCGAGGCTTGTTATGACATGCATTTTTTTTAACACTTTACCTAGTATTTCAGAATAATTTAAAAAAAAATGATCTAGGAAAGACAAGGCCTAAAATTATTTTTTTAGAATTTAGTA